GACGGTGTGTCCCTGCTCCTGGACATTCCGCCTCCTCAGGCACACACTGAAGGAAAGGAGGGGGGTGCCCAGGGTACATGACACAGCGCAGGTTAAGAAGAGCTCAGGGCATGTGCATCTTTGAGGATGAAGTCATTGTATTGCACGTTAGTCTTCTTAGCAGTAAATGTTGATTATTAGGATTGTGTCTTTGCCCAGAGGCTAGATTCTACTCACCGTCCCAGATCTAACATTTTCTCAGTAAGCTCACAGGAAGAAAATGTGAAGCCTCAGGGCTGAAAGTGGGAGTGAATCTTCAGAATTGGTTTTTCTGGAGCTGATTTCTACCAATGGGCTCTGATTGCAGTAACTCACACATGCAGGTCACGGTTCCAGAGTGTCATCCCAGACATGATCTCATTCGCCCCTCTGTTTGAGAGCCCCCAGCTAAATTGGGGGTCCAGTACCAGAGCCCCTAGCAACCCTGACCTGCAGGAAATGAAGGGGAGCTAGATGTGGGTGTGTGCAGTGTGCCTTAAATGGCCTGATGCCTGGTTGCCCCACCCACAACCAGGGGGTCCCTCACACGGAAACTTGTTTATACTGGCAGACGCTCTTGTGGCTCTTGACTGCCTTGTATCTACTTGATTCCTGCCAGACCATCATTCTGGCACTGGGGCCCAACTTGTGTTCTCTCCAGCATCGAAGGAAAAACCCAGCCTGGGGTAACCCCTGGTTCTTGTACTACAAGGCCTAAATTTAATATGCCACTACAATGGGAAACAGTCCAAAGATTTACATTGGCAGATCCTGGGCAGAGAAGGAGGGCACAATGAGTCAGTAGGTCAGTCCTCCATCCCAGGGTCACATGAGGCAGGAATGAAGAGTCAGAGAGAGAGAAAGAGAGAAAGAGAGGAGAGAGAGAGAGAGAGAGAGAGAGAGAGAGAGAGAGAGAGAGAGAGAGAGAGAATGACAACTAGCAGAGTCAGTTAAAGGATACAGCAGGAAAGTGGGGAGCCCAGCCTGCTAAGTGGGAGAGATGCCTCTATGTTGTCATCTCTGGCCACTAGCTTAAGCCATCTGGTGTGGTGTTCTACTTCCAATGCCCAGGCCACAACTTTTGCTGTGCCATTCTCATTACAGTCAATTCTGTGATGCCTTAAGCATTCAACCTTGTGCATAGTGACCAGTACTATTTGAATAGTGGAGACTGGAAGCAAGTAGGGAAGGACATTATGATACTCAAGTTGCACCAGGCTAGAACTGGGACACTCTCTGCCACCTCCTGGGTCACTGAGCAGATTTTTAGTTGCTCATCTGGCTCCCATGCTCAATACCATAACTGGAGTAGAGAAAGGTCACTCTGCTCCAGGATCTTCTCCCTCACCTCCTCCCAGCTGGACCTGCCACCTTATCAGTGCTGGCTGTGTCCATCCATAAGGCTCCATGCTGTGCATGGCCCAACTCCATGCCTTGGTCTTAGCACAGAACTGAGCATGAGAGGATGGGTGGATAGATGAGTGGGTGGATAGATTGATGGAAAAATGATGGATGGACAGGTGTGTAGGTAGATGGATAGACAAATGGATGGATGGTTGAGTAGGTGGCTGGATGGATGGATGCATTGGTGGGTGAATAGATGGATGGAAGGATGAATGGACAGATACATGGACAGCAAATGGATGGATGGATGAATGGGTAGATGGATCAATGGATGGATGGATGGATGATAGGAGGGAGGGATGGGTAAATGAATAGATGGATGAAGAGATGAATGAATAGATGAATGGAAGGATGGATAGACAGATGCATGGAAGAAGATGGATGGATGGGTCAATGGAGGAAGGGAGAGAGGGACAGAGGAAGGTGTGGATAAGCACGTGGATGGACATATGGCTGGAAAGATGGGCAGAAAATGGATGAATAGGTAGATGTTATATGAGGGCAAGAGTTACCTGAGGGTCTCTGCAGTGCCTTTCACAGCACCAATATATAGTAAGTGCTTGATAAATATTTGTAGGTTTTTCAGTTTGAAATACAATGGTGCTGCTTTAAATTTTGCATGAGAAGAATGCTATGCCACTACAATGGTGTCTAACTCTTATCCTTTGCACTATTGTCACCATGGGTCCCCTTCTATGTAGTTATTCAGATACCAGAGTATTCCATCAGGGAGAGAAGATGTGACTTCGAATCCTGGACTAAAAGGCTTCCCCTGCACCTCGCCCTTCCTTCTTCCCAGCATTAATATCTGACTCATGAGCAGCTAATCTCTTTCCAATGTTGACCTCTCCATTCACTGAACTAGGGAAAAAACAGTGCTCCACATTTCTAACTGGGTATTTTTCTCTCTGAGTGTGCAGGTTGTAACTCCGTGTTCTCTCCTCTGTGCTGCTTATTGTCTTGTTCAACCATCCACTTGCCCAGCACTTAGTGCATGCCATGTGACGGGGACCAACAAGCAACTTCCAGAAGCACTTGGCCCCCAAACACAGCAGTTTGGCTCTCAGGTGTGGCTGGGCAGGATAATCACCTGGGATGTTTGAAAATGTACACCCGGGAGCATTGTGTTTGGACTTGGCATGTGTATATATATTTAATAAGTAGATGTGTGTGCATGTGTGTATACATATTCAAATCAATACATATTTAAAACATTCCTCTTCCACTTCCCTTCCCTTCCTAAAAACTTCCATCCTAAAGCCATTAGGTGGGGCAAAGCCAGGTGGGCACCTACAGTGGGGTGGAGCACAGGAGGGCACAAAGGGCCATAGGTGGGGTGTCAGGGCGAGAAATGGCAAAGAGGGCAACCCCAGGGGAGGGACAGCAGTGAAGGTGGGAGACTTCTTACATACAATGAGACTGAGCAAGTACCTAAACACTTTCAGATTAATGGAAATGAGATTTTTCACTGTTGGCAAGGAAAGTTACAAGTAGAATGAATTTTGTGGGAACTGGAGATATCAATGAACTCCAGGCTTTCTATTAATATAATATTGAGATCTATAGATAGAGGGATAGGTATAGAGAGAAAAAGAGAGATGAAAATAAAGATGCAAATATGTATGAGAGTGTGAACTTGGACCATCTTCTTGTGCCAGGAAGCAAAGACTGTGCTCTAGAACATGATGAGAGGATGTCATAAGGCCACAGGTTCAGCTGAAATAAGCCACTGACCAAATCAAGGCATATTTAAGCATCCATATAACCACACTAAGGGATTATAACCTAGGAATAAAATAGAAAACCAAGAATCCACAGTGATATTAAAAACCATCTAAAGGTTTGGTGAGGCCTGGAGTATCTGCATAGGTTCAAAGTTCTCCCCCAAAATGCTTGTTAAATTCAAAGGAGGAATGAAGGGCTTCGCAGGGCAAGGCCTGGCAGATGCCGTCCAGCAGTGGTCCACGTCAGCATCACCAGAGACAGGACCATCTGTGGTTCCACACTGCCTGCCAGGACGCCACGAGGAAGACTCGGCACAGCCCAGTTTGATCTAATTGAGAAGAAAGAGAGAAACCCAGACTAAGGACACTCTACAAAACACATGGCCTATAATCTGCAAAGTGTCAAGTCTACAGAAGTCAAGCAAATCCTGAGAAATGTCCCAGGATGAAGGAGACTAAAGGGAAACCACAACTAAGTGCAGCAAGTGATCCTGCACTGGAACCTCTGTCCTAACGGGCATTATTGGGACAACTGGCACACCGTGCATGGGGTCTGGTGATTGGACGTGTCTGTGAGAACACGGCTGTGTTGTAGTTATGTAGGAGAATGTTCTGGTCATAGGAAATACACACTAAACTCTTCCAGAGTGATGGGGCATCAAGTTCGCAATTTATTTTCAAATGGTTCAGAAAAAGAAAAGCTATTTTCACTACGTGTGTAATGCTTTGTGATTTTTTTATTGCTGCCACTTTTTTGAACTATTAATATTAAAATAAGGTAAATTGAATCACAAAAGAGTAAATAAGAAAGAATATAGGTAGTATAACTCCTAAATTCCCCAGGTGGTCATGATGCATTTCCCAGGGCTCACAGCCTTTGTTCTAGAAGTAATGGGAGCAGTTGGCTGGGAGCTCTGTCCGGGGAGCTGCTTCCTCAGGCCACGCCCGCCTGCATTCTCAAACAGGGCCACATTTCCGGCTCTGGCCCCACTTGCTCCAGCTGTCATGGGCTCCCTCAGCTCATTCTGAACAAGCCCAAGAGCCACCTCTCGGGCGTCTTGGCCGGGTATTGCCACCTCAGCTTGCAGGCACAGTGGGTATAGTCAGGCCCATGGTTCTGTGAACACTGGCTCTCTTCCCAATGCTCCTCCCTTTGGGTGGCCCTGTTGTGGAGGGACATCAGGCTATGGTCTTTAGCCCAGATGTCTCAGAGTCTGAGTGAAACAGGCCTTGGAGCCCACTCTTCCCTGAGCCTCAGACTTGAGCCAGGAGCATGGGCCGGGAGGGTCTGAGCAGCCTGGGTGGCACATTCAGATCACTTCCCTGCTCCCACCCTGAGGGCTGAAATATGGGCAGCTTCTCACTGTCCTCTTCTCTCAGGGTAAGTATTTTCTAGAAAGCTCCTCGGGTCTTGATAGTAATGACACCCCCAGCCCATCAGATGTGCCCAGGCCTCCCTGAGTCCCTGAGGGATGAAGCTTCAGCCTGTGCTGCTGTGCATGGAAATGAACAGAAGAGGGCCCCGTCCCTCTGGCCCACATTGCGTCCTTGTGCAGCACCGCCAGAGAACCAGGCCCCACGGCCACGGGCTCTGGTGGGCCACCTCTGCCTGCAGGTCCTCTCTGATTTATCTGCCGAGACCACCCAATCCAGGGTGGGGGTGGGGAGCTGGGATTTGTACATTGGCCGCTGGCAGACGGCATGGGAGGTGGCCTCAGACAGGGTAGCTGCCAGGGTCCGTGTCAATCAGACCCCAGTGGGGTGGGCTCCGCCCCTGCACAGAGCGTTCTCCATTCTCCCCATCCCCCATCCTAATTCGGTCCAGTGAAGGCCTTGCTCTGTTTTGCCCCCTAGCGTGGACAACTCTGAGGACCCCGTGTACGAGAGCCTGGAAGAGTTCCACGTTTTTGTCTTAGCCCATATACTGAGAAGGCCGATCGTCGTCGTGGCAGATACAATGTTGAGAGACTCAGGTGGAGAAGGTAAGTTCCTCAAAGAGATGTATTTTATTCATGACACAGACAGCGTAACATCCCAGTTAAAGAACAGATTTAAAGGTCCAGACGTCACTCCACGTGGACACACAGCAGATTATTTCTCATTTCTCCCCGACTCAGCACGTTTCTTTTTCCTCCCCCGTGGCAGAGGGGTTGCTCTCGGCCATCCGCCCCGCATGTCAGCAGCGGGTGGCCATGAGAAATCTGGCCGTGTGAGGGCAGGGACTGACCCCCACCGTGTGCCCAGAGCACGGCCGCGGCTGACAGCCTGTACCCCTCCAACAGCCTGGGCCATGTCCCAGAGCCAGTCAGCCCTCCCGGCCCTCTACAGGCTACACATGCGTTAAAAAGAAAAGAGCGACAGGAAGTGAAGGGCTCGGCAAGGCCGTAGTAGAATCAGAACTGGCAGAGCAGGAGGCAGGGAGGACGGGCTGCCATGGCTGCCCACCGAGAGCCAAGCACCATGCACGGCCCCTCACCAGGTGTGCCCTCCTTCCGCCCCACCACAACCTCCCAGGGTGGACACTGCCCTCCCGCTTTACAGACGAGGAAACTGAAGCCCAGAAAGCCAAAGCAAACCCAAAGGGGTTCGTCCTGGGGCATGAGTGCTCCAAAGAAGCCTGTCCTCCCCTGGGCTATGGCTCCCCAGTGTCCCTCCAGCCCACCTTCCTTCCATTCTCCCTGGAGCCCTCTTGCAGGTGGGCCTTCCCGCCACCTCTCAGCGGATTCTCCTGCGGGCAGAGCCACACTGACCAATTTAAACAAAGGGAGGGTGGAGAAGGAATCCTAAAAGCTGGTGGTCAAAGCTGGCCCTGAAGCTACTGTCCCTAAAGCCACCCACTGACCTAAAGGCCAGATTCTTTATGACCAAAGACCAGATGCTGCTTCAGGGCAGATGTTTCCAGAAGTTAATATATTCAGCAAGAGTTTTAGGCTTTTTCCCCCTCTTTTTCATGAGTAAGGAAAAGAGCCAGGTTGTAGGAAAACAATCACTAAAGGGTCCAATTTTCCTTCCTGTCTGACTTACGACTTGGTCCTGGAGCTCTCTGGTTGGCCCTGGCTGCTTTCTTTGAATTCCATAGAAGAAGTTCTCAAAATACAGCACAAACACACTCTCAGTTAGCATAGGTATTGTTTTGTATACAGGCACCTTAACCAACACTAGGAGAGGAAGAAGCACATCCAGAGCAACATGGGTTTCTAGGCTGTGACTCCTTCCCTGTGCTCACCGCAGAGCCCAGGAAAGGCGGGGGACGTGCCCTCGGGCCCTGCTGCTGCTCACGCCTCACCTTTGTCCGTTTGTGCCTGCAGCATTCGCACCCATCCCATTCGGGGGGATTTACCTGCCCTTGGAGGTCCCTCCCAACAGATGCCACTGCTCACCTCTGGTTCTGGCCTACGATCAAGCGCATTTCTCTGCCCTCGTGTCCATGGAACAGAGAGACCAGCAAAGAGAACAAGGTATGCCCAGCTCCTGAGAGACGGTGGGCGCCGGCGACAGGGGCAGGGGCAGGGCCATTGGTGGGACATCATCAGTGGGATGTTGTTGGGGAGACATGGGTGGTGGGCATAGGAGAGTACAGGGAGGTGGCATGTGGACAGGTCCCCTCAGAGGCTGCCTGTGCACACTCAGCAGTGATGGGTGTTGCATAAAACATTGAAGATAACAATGTGAAAGACCACGTTTCTCTTAAAATACTAAATGAATGCCTAATTCCACCACACTGAATAGCCTCTACCATTGTTCCCTTTCACATGTGTATAAGTTTTATATGGATGTAATTAGATGTAAAAATTAAAAAAAAAAAAAAAGCCCTTCAACATCAGGAATTGGCAAACTACAGTCCACCACCTACTTTCGTAAATAAAGTTTTATTGGAACACAGCCACATTCATTCACTGATGTATTGTCCGTGGCTGCTTTTGCACTACAGTGCAGAGCTGAATAGCAGCCGCAGAGACTGTGGCCTGCAAAACCTAAAATACTTACTAACCAGCACTTTATGGGAAAAGTTTGCCCACCCCTACTATAGAGTAAGCTTTTGGATCCAAAGGTCAGTATTTCCTTTCAAACCATTATAGCTGAGTTTCCTACAAGTAGCCATTTCAGTGCTGCTGATGGCCGGGCTGGGCTGGCGCCACAGGCCGAGCACTGCACAATTTTAGGACACCAGTTGATGTCTTTGCTGGGGAAATAGGGGAATTTTGTTTGGAATGCTTGCTGCTTTCTCATGTTAGCTACTATAGATGTGTGACTAGCTGAATGGAGAGGGAAACCCTTCCTGTTGTCACCTTGTTTCTGGTCTAGGCCAAGAATCCACCAAAAGACTAAAGGACAGACAGGATGGAATAGTTTCAGGGTCCAAGCCATTGGGTGTGGTTGCAGGGAATTGGAAGTGACTTGTCCAACCCACTACAGGACAGGAAGCTCAGGGGTGTCTGGGTCTTTTACACTGAGTGTGCATCATGGGAAGTAAATACAGCAACAAAACTGCCCCATCAGGACACTCAAAAATGCCCCCCTTTCCTGTAGATGGTGAGCATGGAAGGAGCACAGTCAGCGAGCAGAACCCAGCCTCCCTCAGCCCTCAGTGAGGTGCAGCGCCAGAGTGTGCACCTTCCTGGCATGACAGGGAGCTGGGAGTGAGGCCTGGGGCTGTGCGGTAGGAGCCGGAAGTGAGGGCAGCCCGGGGCATTCACTGACCCCTTCCCAGGGGCTGAGGCAGAACCACCAGGGGCTGCACGTGGTGCCATGGGCATGAGGGTCCCAGGAAGGGAGAGCAGGCCAGAGCTGCAGCCAGCTGTGATGGGAGTGTCATGTCACCTTTCTTTATTATTTCCAGACATCTCACTGGCCAGGGAAGGACAGGAGGCCTTCCTGCATTTTTTGTTGTCCCTCCATGTTTCGTCCAGTAAAGCCTGCACCCACTTTGTGGGGTTTTAGCTCTTCTCAGAGCTCCCTGCAGCTCTGGGGAGACGAGAGGGGGCTTTCTCAGGGCCTGGGGTCCAGGCCAGCACTGGGGCCCTCTGTCCAGTCCTGGGGGAGTCCCTGTGGTCAGGGAACAGTGATCGTCCCAGGGCCAGCATCTGCCACTGCTGAGCTTGGGGTTCAGTCACAGCCTGCCTCGTGAGGCCACAGGCTTCCCAGCCCAGAGCAGTGGAATTTTCACTCCCTTGTCCCTGCTCCCTCCGCACTGCCACATTTTAGGATCCAAATTCCAGATCATCAGGTCTTTATGCAAAAACCTGTACATGCATGTTCTGGTAGCTTTGCAATAGCTGAAAACTAGAAACAACCCAAATGTTCTTCCTAGGTGAATGGTTGAACAAGTGGTGGTACGTCCACACCGTGGACTTCTGCCCAGCAGGAGAAAGAAGGACTATGACACACACAGGGGCCTGGATGAGTCTCAAGGGAGCTATGCTGAATGAAAAAAGCCAAAAGCCAGTCCCAAAAGAGATTGCATACTATATGTTTCCAGTCATGTAGCATTCTTTTTTTTTTTTTTTTTTTTTTTTTTTGAGACAGAGTCTCACTTTGTTGCAATCCTCCTGCCTCAGCCTCCGGAGTAGCTAGGACTACAGGCATGCGCCACCATGCCCGGCTAATTTTTTGTGTATATATTTTTAGTTGGTCAATTAATTTCTTTCTATTTTTAGTAGAGACAGGGTCTCACTCAGGCTGGTTTCGAACTCCTGACCTCGAGCAATCCGCCCGCCTCTGCCTCCCAGAGTGCTAGGAGTACAGGCATGAGCCACCACGCCCAGCCACCACGCCCATTTCATTCTTGAAATGATTCTTGAAATGAAAAATTTCTAGAGATGTGAGAACAGATTAGTGGTGGCCGGGGATTAAGAACAGGGAAAGGGTAGTGGAGGGAGGTGGGTGCTTATAAAAGGGAAGCATAAGGGACCCTTATGGTGATATGACTGTTGTGTGTCTTAAGTGAGGTTGTTACATAAGTCTACACATGTGATAAAATTGCATAGCACTCTATACACACATACACACAGATGAGTATATGTAAAACTGCTGTCGGCTGAATACAATTAGCAGATCAAAGCCAATATCCTGGTTGTGATATTGTACTATATAGTGAGACGACGTTACCACTGAGGGGGGTGTGAGATGCGTACCCAGGACCTCTCTGCATTCTGTCTTACTATTGCATGTGAATCTACAACCATCTCACGAGAAAAGGTTCAATGTGCTCCTAGATATCATAAACATGTATTGACTAGCAGGAATATTAATGGGCTAAAATTATTAAAAAGCCTTGTTTATCATTTTTCCTAACTACTTAAAATACAAATTTGGGAGCAGCAATTTGGATAATCCCTTCTTTTTTATTGGTCTTTCCCAAGAACCACCTTTCAGTTTCACTGATTTCTGTCAACTACATTTCTGTTTTTAGTTTTATTGATTTCTGCTCTTATTGTTATTATTTGCTTTGTGTTCAATATGCTATTATTTCTCTAGTTTCTTAAGGCAAAAATTTAGATTACTAATTTGGGACCTTTCTTCTTATCTGATATAAGCATTTTAATGCTATAAATTTCCCCCAAGCACTGCCGTAGCTACATCACATGAATTTGAATGTGTTATATTTCCATTTTCATTCTGTTCAAACTATTTTTTAATTTCCCAGGAGGTGTCCTCTGACTCTTGGATTATTTAGAAGCAGGTTGTTTAAGTTCCAAATATTTTGGGAGTATTTAAATATTTGTTACTGATTTATATGATCTGAGAACAGACTTTTTATGATTTCTATTCTTCTAAATGTGCTAAGATTGGCTAAGCATATGTATCTAGCTTGTTCCATATGCACTTGAAAAGAATGTGTATTCTGCTCTTCTTGAGTTCTATAAATGTCAATTAGCTCAAGTTCTCTGATAGTGAAGCTCAGGTCTTCTGTGTTCCTTCCTGATTCCTGCCTACTTGCCCTGCCAATTACTGAAAGAAAAGTGATGAAATTTCCAACTGTAATACATTTTTCTATTTCTCTTTTCATTTTTGTTAGTATTTGCTCCATATACTTTGAAGCAGTGATGTTAGGAACATGCATGTGTATGGGATTATTACGTTTTCTTGGAGAATTAACCCCTTTATCATTAGAATGTTCCTCATTTTTGGTGGTAACAGCACTAATTCTAGAGTGAACTTTATATGTTATTAGTATGGTTACTCTAGCTTTCTTTTTATTAGTAAGTATCTTTTAACCTATCTATGTCTTTATATCTATAATGGGGTTCTTTAGGCAGTACATACTTGAGTTTGCTTTTTAATCCAATCTGATAATTTATCTTTTAATTAATATGTTCTGAGCATTTACATTTAATAGTATTAATGATATGGTTGGATTAAAATTCGCCATTTTTTTTTTTTTTTTTTTTTTTGAGACAGAGTCTCACTCTGTTGCCCGGGCTAGAGTGCCTTGGTGTCAGCCTAGCTCACAGCAACCTCAAACTCCTGGGCTCATGCAATCCTTCTGCCTCAGCCTCCCAAGTAGCTGAGACTACAGGCATGCACCACCATGCCTGGCTAATTTTTTCTATATATATTTTTGGTTGGCCAATTATTTCTTTCTATTTATAGTAGAGACAGGGGTCTCACTCTTGCTCAGGCTGGTTTTGAACTTCTGACCTTGAGTGATCCTCCGGCCTCCACCTCCCAGAGTGCTAGGATTACAGGCATGAGCCACCACACCCAGCCTAAAATTTACCATCTTGCTAGCTCTTTTCTATTAATATTTGTTCTATCAGTTCTTCGTTTTTGTTTCTCTTTTAATGTCTTATTTTGGATTAATTGGGCTTTTTAGTGCTTCCACTTTATCTCCACTATTGACTTATTATATCTCTATTTTTAATGGTTAGTGGTTTCCTAACCACTGAGGTTTACAGTAAACATGTTTAATTAATGATTCTATTTTCAAGTAATATTATTCTACTTCATGTGTCGTGGAAGGATATTATGACCATGTGCTCCCAATCCCTGCATCTCATCCTCTGTGTATTATCAGACATTGCATTATTACATCTGCTATAAACACAAAATGCACTGCTGCTGTCTTTGCTATAGACAGTCAGTCAGCTCTCAGAGCAATTAAAAGGAAGAAAAATGAATTGTATTTTCACCTTCATTGATTCCATTTCCATCACTCTTCATTGTGTAAATCCCAAGTTTCTACTGGCAGCATATCTCTTCCACCTGAAGAATTTCCATTAACATTTCCTGTAGTACAGGTCCCCAGGCAATGAATTTGCTCACTTTTGTTTGAAAAAGTCTTTATGTCTCCTTCATGTTTTGGAGGTATACTTGCGGAGTACAGAATTCTAGATTAGCAGTTGTTTCTTTCAGCACTTTAGAAATGTCAGTCCATCATCTTTTGGCTTACTTGTTTTATCCTGAAAAGTCTGCCATAATTCTTATCTTTGTTTCTCTCTATATATTTCTTTTTTCCCCCTTTGGCTGCCTTCAAAATTTTCTTTTTGTCTTTGCTTTTTAGAAGTTTTAAGATGTAATGAATAGGAATCTTTTTGTTGCTGTTATTTTTCCTCCCTGGTGTTCTCTAAGCTTATTGGGTCTGTGGTGGTGTTTGTCATTAACATTGGAAAATTCTCAGCCATTATTTCTTTAAATATTCCTTTTGTCTTGATCGCTCTCTTTTCTCCTTCTAGGATTACCTTTACACAGAACTTAGGCTATTTGATATTACCCCCTCGCTCTTAGTGCTCTGTTCTGTTTCCCATCACCTTTTTTCTCTTTGTGTTTCAGTTTGTGTAATTTCTATGGCCTATCTTGATGTCCACATGGTTCTTTTCTCAGCTGTGTAAAGTCTACTGACCAGCCTCTCAGAGTCACTCTTCACTATTATTATTGTGGGCTTTTTTTTTTTTATGTCTAGCATTTTCATTTATAGATTTCTTCTCTCTGCTGAAATCAACTAGAGAGTTTAACTTATGGATCAGTTTAAAGTTCCTAGTCTGATAGTTTCAACACCTGTGTCATATCTGAGTCTTATTCTGTCAGCTGCTTTGTCTCTTATCAATGTGTAGGGTTTTTTGTCTTTTCTTGTTCCTCATAGTTTTTGGTCGAAAGCCAAAGCCAAATTTCTTGAGTAGGACAATAAAGATTAAGGTATATCACTTTTATTCTGGAAAGAGGCATGCCTTTCTTTTTTCTAGATCTTTAGAGTTTGGTTCGAATCAGTCTACCAGGACAGCTGGGGGAGGTCACCCCCGTGCCCAGATGCAGGGACACAGGCCCTGCCTAAGAGAGAGGCTTAATCGGAGTAACAGAGAACATCGCCCATAGTGCACCCAGTGTTTGTTGCCACCTACCCTCTGCAATCTAAGCTTTGTTCCTTAGTGGAGATAGGAGGGAAAGATCTGTGGCAGACACTTTCTCAGCGTTCTTGCCAATCTTTTGGGGGAACACTAGGTTAGGTCCTGTGGAGAGGAGATTGCAAATGCATGTGAATTTCCTTTATATCTTCAGCCTCCAGGTCTCTATATTATTACACTAGCCAATACTCTTCCTTTACCAATTTAACAATTTTAGCTGAATTCTTCTTACTGGTGTCCAGCTTAGTTAACCCCTCTTAAGCTCATGTCTGTCTCTCCTTGTAGGCACCTGTCTTTCCTTAGATGTGGGATTAATTGGTTCCCCATAACTTCAGCTCACGGGGGGGTTAAAGATAAGTTGTGAAGTTGCCTGACTTCTTGTTGCAATGGTGGAACAAAGCTCTTCCAAGTTTTCACGTCCCAAACTGAAACCAGAAATCTCCATCCTTTTTTGGAAAAGAAGTACTCAAAATATGTCCAGGCTAGTGTGAGATGGTATCTGTATGCTTTCCGGCTAAAAGACAGAAGAGAGTGTTTTCAAAACAAAAAAACAAACAAACAGAAAACAACAGCAAATAACCCTACCTTTCCAGGCTTATTTTGAAAAGCGTTTGCTGTTCTTGGCACGTGCCACCAGAGGGCAACCTGCCACATGACTCCCCGTCTCACTGGGTGAGGCCAGGTTCCCAGTAGGGAGATGTCAGTGTGCACAGCAACAGGCAGAGCAACTGATGCTCCCCAGGAGGGCCTGTTTCCGCAGCCTCCCTGGCCTGTACTCTCCCCGGGCTCTCTGAGCCCTGAAGCCACAGCCCTTATCACAGGCCGCAGCTGATGCTCTACAGAGAAGATGCCTCCCTCCTAGCCCTGGGTATCTCCTGTCGGAAGCAGGCACGTCCTCAGAGCCTCTGTCAGTGCCTGGCCTTCACCCCACCAAGACCAAGGCTGAGAGCCTGCCAGGACCCTTCTGTGTGGGCAGGCACTAGCGCCTTCAGGAGCATTCCAACTGCACACGCAAGCCGTGGGCGGCCCAGGGGTCGGTTCCAGCCCAGCTGTGGAAGGCAGGAGTTCCCAGGAGCCCCACTGCAGGGAGGTGAGGGTGACAGGACTGTGGTGTTGTCCTAGCCTGGGGAGTTTATCTGAAACAAATAAATCACAGTCACAGTGGCTTAACACAATAGAATTTTGGTCCCCCATGCAAATAAAGTCTCAAACAGGTGTTCCTGATTGGCAGGCAGCTCTTCTCCAAGTGGGATCGGGAGGCCACTCCCGCCATCTGGCAGCGCCACAGTCTTCTGCAGGTGCTGCACGTGGAGGAGGGGCGCGGGGGAGAGTGCCGCCTCTGCCTCACCACATCACCCAGCACCTCCCACGTCGCTTCTGCACATAGCCTATGGGTGCAGTTCGGCACCTGTTCCCTCCTAAATGCTGGGGTGCTGGGGAATGTGGTCAGAGCTGGGCAGATGTTTTCCAGTGGCTACTCTATCCTGGGAAGGAGGTGGACAGCCAGACCTAAAATGCCCAAGTTGCACCCACAGGAACTACTTCAAACAGATTATTGTTGCTCTAGAACAATATTTTCCAAATCTGCCTGATCTTAAGAACCACAGGGATGCTATTTAAATGGTACTTTCCTGGACACTCTGGTTTGGCCCCTGTGTGCATGGGGGCCGGGGACCCCAAGGAGCTGCACTAAGCTGACAGGTCTGCTTAACAGTGTCGATGGGGAGAGCCTCTGCCACCACCCGCCCCGCTGGTGGGAAACCAGGCTAACCCCGTCTGGGTGGTGACTCATGGAACTATGGGACAAGCTGCTGGGCATTACCCAAGGGAGGCCTGTCCCTGAGCCAGTCCTGCAGCCCTCCCTGGGTGTGTCCACCCTGCAGCTCAGCCCTGGGAAGGCGGCCGCGTCACGGCAAAACCCAGCAGGCTGCAGCCCAAGCAGGCGGAGCCGCCCCTGACCACCCAAACCAGAGCACTGTGCTGCCCAGTCCGAAGCCAGATTAAATGAAAACCCTTGAGCCAGTCGTTGGTCAGCAAAGCTGTGTTTCCCTTATATGGGGTGGGGCATTGAGGGGAGCAAGAGGAGGAATTATTCCCGCTCATGTTTTCTCTAGCAACACTGGAGGGCAGCATTGAGTCAATTTTCCAGTTTCTTAGAAAATCAATGGTATCCAGTCTTAGCTTTTTATTCTTGCCTTTTCCTTCTTGCCACGGCACCCTGTGCTCCAGCAAAGGCATGCAGCAGCTGGCCAGAGGCCCTGGCTGTGCTTCTCTGCTGCGGTGTGATTCCTATGAATGGGGCTTGCAGGAAAGCCAAGTGGAAGCCAGCGAGGAGGCTGCTGCTTCTTAGAAGGCAGAACTGGGGGTGCCATCTCCCTACCTCTTCCTGCTCATCCCTGACAAGGCCCTTAGGAGGAGTCGGTCGTGTCACTAGGGACCCCTCTTCACAGGGTCCTGCAGCAGCTCAGAAGCTTTTGGCAGATCCCAAACAAACCTGCAGACACACCCCTCCGCCCCACCCCTTCTGGGATGGGCCGTGATTTCCCACGGGTGGTATGTTTCACTCAAGAGGTTTCCTGGGGAATCAGTCCCTCTGAGAAATGACTGGCCAGTCGCTCCTCACCTACTGCAGTTGCCACCTACACGTGACCTCATCAAAAGGCTCCCCTACTCCACCCTAGAAAGCCTTCCCCACTACTGCCTTTTGCCTGCTGTTTACCGTTTGGGGGCTTATCACTACCTGACATATGAGGTGTTTGCCATATGTGTCCCCAGCACAGACAGCTCCCTGTGGGCAGGAGTGGGCAGGTCCCTGGGTCCTGGGTCCTAGGTACTGACACAGACTTGCTGCAAGAAATCACAAACCAGCAGAGGTCAGCAACACCTTGCTCACCTGACCTGCACACTCACCCTCCTCTGGCATGAGGTGAGGTGGCCTCACAAAGTGCACCCAGCCGGCCTGGGTCCTTCCTCAGAAATAACAGAACAGCAATAGCTTTTTCCTATCCTGATGCCCAGTGGGCTATCTGCCATTGGACTGAGCTAAAGAGACACAGAATCCAGGTGATGCCTCTAACTGCTCTTCAATGTCCACATTAACTATGACATTTTTAAAAAGTATCAATAGTGGTTTTGAAACCTATGGTCTTAACCTCCTGCTGGCACAGATATTCTGCATGAATTTCCATTCAGTTACTTATTGCCCAGACACCTGGCTTCGGAGTCCCCTTCGTGGCTGCCCTGGGGATAGCTGGGGCTCCCAGCATGGCTCTCTCTTTTCTGTTCCAGCTGTGATCCCCCTGACGGATTCTGAGCACAAGCTGCTGCCTCTGCACTTTGCAGTGGACCCTGGCAAGGACTGGGAGTGGGGGAAAGACGACAATGATAACGCCCGGCTGGCCCAGTAAGACCCTCCTCTGCACCCCTCAGCACCATTTAGGGAGGGCTGCCACTGGGGCTTTCTGGGGCAGAGCTAGACCCCTTTGCTCCTCCTGGGACAGCTGGCATGCAGGCAGATGGGGTGCACCCGAGGGCCAACCTAGGGCCTGGTTCACTAGGTGTTCTTCTTTTACCAGCCTCATCCTGTCACTAGAAGCGAAGCTGAACCTTCTGCACAGCTACATGAATGTGACATGGATCCGGATCCCCTCCGAGACCCGGGTAAGCCTGGTGTACACTGGGACTGGACCTGGTGGCCGGGCTAAGGCCACTTAGCTCCAGCCTAGCCCAGGGTGCATCCTCCCGAAGGCTCCCAAAAGCTTGCCCAGCCCCAGCTGCGTCTGCAGCCTGGGAGCCCCTCACCCACTGTCCTAGCTGTCCCAGCCACACATGGGACAACCTGGCTCTGGCTTGAAGTAACTCAGATTGGACATGGTATGTGTGTGCACACAGATGTAGGCGTGTGTGCATGCAAGCACACACTCCAGCTAGGAGATTTTTTTTGTCCCCATTTTCTGAAGGAGAGGAATAAACACACCCACTCAGAAAATAAACCATAGGCAAGTCACAACACAAATCTATCTCTACGGAGATCGGAACATGATGTGCTGCAGCAGAGCAGAATTAATTATAAACTGTGTGGGTCCTCGGAAACGCCAGGGAACCGAAAGTGCGATTCCTCAGCGCCCCCTCTTCCTCCCGGCGCGGAGGCGGAGGCGGCGCAGTGGTGGGTAGAGCTGGCAGGGCGGAGAGGACAGGGCCCACAGCCCCCAGAAGGCTACCTGCCCCTCCCCTCTGGAGGGTTGATGCTGCCCCTACTTGCAGATGCCGAGAGGGATTCATTTTAAGCATCTGACTGATTGATGTTTTAGTAATCTCTACCAGGGAAAAGGATTTGTAAAAAATTGCTTGTAAATAATCGGTCCTCCCCAGACGTCGGTTTACTTAGGCATAAAGTGGGGCTCACAAGAATTGTAAAGGGAGTGGCGTGAGTAGCGCAAGTCCCCCCATGCCTGGCACAGTCCGTGCCACGCAGAGAGCGCTCAGACTTCAGCCTTTACCTGGACTTCAGCCTCGCAGGGCTCCATGAGGCAGGAACTGGTACCCCATTTTTTTGATGGTGTAAGTGACAGCCAGTCAGGGGCAGGGTCTGAGTCCTGCCTTTCAAAGGCATGGAGTATGCCAGTGGTGCTGTGGATGTTCTTTCTGAGCCCCTGTGTGGGGTGTGACAGCAGCAGCTACAGGTCTAGAATCAGAAGGCTCTTGCACTGAAAAGGGCTCTGCCCTGCAATGAGCAGGGCCCCTGGCCAGGCCTTGGTGGCCTCCAGGTCAGACGCAGGGCTCTCAGCAGACAACCCGGGCAAGGGTCTTCCAGCTGCAGGGCTCACAGCCTGAGCTCCTCGCTGACTGCGCTCCCAGCCGGCACCGCCTAGCACCAGGCACACCTCCCTTCCCGGGCCCAGCCCTGCCCTGCGTTTCTGCCCTTTGGTGTCTCTCGCACACCAGTCAGACCTTTCCCTCCTCCCAAAGCCTGGGGAGAAGGGGAAAGAAGGAATTTCAGAATGGGAGGTGCTGAGGGCCAGTTCTGCCCACCTTTACTTCTGGGTAAACCTACCTGGTGGCAGGAAGGTCACTGTCTCTTAAACCGCTTGGTAGGGGTTGACAAAAAGTCTGTGGGAGGGGCAGTGGGCCTTCTCCCAGGCCCCTTCCCTGGAGGTGAGAGTTCAGGCATGTCTAGTTCCTGCCACACCCAGCCGTAACAACAGGGGGCCCTGCCCTTTGCCCAGTGACACTCCCTTGGAATTCTCTCCTCACCCAGGAAGATCCTCCACAAAGCAGCAGTAGGTGCTGCCTGTCCTCTGTATCCTGCCACCTCCCTTCTCAGGCTCCCTGCCTGCCCCAGATGTGGGTCCTGGCTACATTCTCATATGTTCTTTCCCTCCTCTGACTGGCTGGTCCCGATCAGTGGGTCTCATCCAAGGTGTGCACAGAGATGATCCCTCCCCACTGTCCCTCCACCCCACCCCATATCCCTGCAGAACTTTTCTGGGAATAGGAACATCTTTTCTGCTGAGCCTAGGCCTATTTCAGAATCCTTCTCAATTTAGCACTCTGCATTGCCAAACTGAGAAAGGAACCCTAAGGTGATCTGTCATCACTGAATCAAGGGGGTGCTTGTTCCAAGAGGTTGGATGAGGTTGTGAGGGCAAGGTTTCTGTCCCCTGCCCGGAGTGAGTAGCTGAGTGAGACATCTCTGTAGGAGAGCCACTTTTGTGAAAGGTGTCCTCCCCACCTGAAAGCCTCCACATTTACAGAGAGGCCAGCCAAGGACCTGTGTCTGGTCAAGCAGGCAGTGGCACCAGGGTCTGGGCCTGGGAATTCTCTCTTAAGTTGGCCGAGACCACGGGTTGCAAAGCCAGGTGAGTTACTCGCACCCTGCCCCACTCCCCCACGCCGGGTTCTAGGCTTACAGGTATTCGAGTTCACCAGAGAGAGAGAGAGTGCACGCAGGTTGGAGTCCTGACCCAGCCTTCCACAAACCCCTCCAGGTCCGCTTTTCATTACTGCGGGAGACCGGAGCTCACTTCCGTCTGCTCATTCGCCTTAAGCATCCCCATCCCAGCCAGTCTCGTCGTCACCAGAGCAGCAGGCACGGCAGGGACGGCGAGGCTCCAGCAGGGTCTGTCTTCCTGGCCCATGCAGGGACAGCTCTTCTCTAAACCGCCTTCCTTCCCTGCCCTCCTTCTCTCCCCACAGGCGCCCCTGGCGCAGCCGGAGTCCCCGACGGCCTCCGCGGGGGAGGACGTGCAGTCCCTGGCCGACTCGCTGGACTCGGACCGCGACTCGGTGTGCAGCAACTCCAACAGCAATAATGGCAAGAACGGCAAGGACAAGGAGAAGGAGAAGCAGCGCAAGGAGAAGGACAAGACCCGCGCGGACTCCGTGGCCAACAAGCTGGGCAGCTTCAGCAAGACGCTGGGCATCAAGCTAAAGAAAAACATGGGCGGCCTCAGCGGCCTGGTGCATGGCAAAATGGGCCGCACCAACTCCGCCAACGGCAAGAACGGGGACTCTGCGGAGCGCGGCAAGGAGAAGAAGGCCAAGTCTCGCAAGGGCAGCAAGGAGGAGTCTGGCGCGTCGGCGAGCACGTCGCCGTCGGAGAAGACCACGCCGTCGCCCACGGACAAAGCGGCGGGCGCGTCGCCGGCCGAGAAGGGCAGCGGGCCACGGAGCGACGCCTGGAAGTACAGCACGGACGTGAAGCTGAGCCTCAACATCCTGCGCGCCGCCATGCAGGGCGAGCGCAAGTTCATCTTCGCCGGCCTGCTGCTCACCAGCCACCGGCACCAGTTCCACGAGGAGATGATCGGCTACTACCTGACGAGCGCGCAGGAACGCTTCAGCGCCGAGCAGGAGCAGCGGCGCCGCGACGCCGCCACCGCAGCCGCCGCTGCTGCCGCCGCCGCCGCCGCCTCCACGGCCAAGCGGCCGCCGCGCAGGCCAGAGGCGGAGAGCGCACCGGGTCCCGAGCGCGCCTCGCCGGGCCCGCCGGCCGGGCAGCCCACGCAGCTGGTGCTCAAGTTCAAGGAGCGCCCGAGCCCCGGGCCCGCGGCGGGCGCACGGGCGGCGCGGGCGGCAGCAGGTGGCGTGGCCTCCCCGAGCTCCGGCGGGGGCGCACGGCGCGCGGGCGCCAGCGGACAGACCCCCGGCCGCAGTCCCCCAGCGCCGGCGCGCCAGAGTGTCATCCACGTGCAGGCGGCGGGTGCGCGGGACGAGGTGTGCGCTCCGGCCGTGGGCGCGCTGCGGCCGTGCGCCACGTACCCGCAGCAGAACCGCTCGCTGTCGTCGCAGAGCTACAGCCCGGCGCGCGCCGCAGCCCTGCGCACGGTCAACACGGTGGAGTCGCTGGCGCGCGCTATCCCCGGCGCCCTGCCGGGTGCGGCCGGGGCCGCGGGCACGGCCGAGCACAAGTCGCAGACCTACACCAACGGCTTCGTCGCCGCGCGCGACGGCCTGGAGTTCGCCGACGCCGACGCGCCCGCCACGCGCTCGAACGGTGAGTGCGGCCGCAGCGGCCCGGGGCCGGCGCAGCGGCGCTGCCAGCGCGAGAACTGTGCGTTCTACGGGCGCGCCGAGACCGAGCACTACTGCTCGTACTGCTACCGCGAGGAGCTGCGGCGGCGGCGCGAGGCGCGCGGGGCCCGGCCCTGAGCGCGTGGCGCGGCGACAAGGTTTTCCCTGAAGGATTTCTTTTCCATTCTGTCGGTGTCTTTTTTAACATGCCCTGGTCAACCGAAAGGCCGGCGCCTCTTCTGTCAGTGCTGTGTACGTGTTTGGTCAAACGTTCCTAATGGTGCCTGAACCTACACTGACGCCACTCAGGTAGTAGATGGATAGGAAACAAGTCATACTGTTGGAAGTGGGTGTGCTAGCCTAGCATCTGCCTCGTACCTGTGGAAACTCAATAGCCATTGCAAGAGTATTTTTGTTCCTCAATAAGAGAAATAAAGAAATTCACAGCCCTTTGTTTTTAGAAGGGAGTGTTTTACATGCTTTTTTTTTTCCTAATCTAGCGACTGACCTCTTCCAGGTAGCGGTCACTTGTGTACGGTTGGTACCACCCCGGATGTAGGAGCGAACGCGCACCTGGGACTGGTGGAGGCCCCTGTGCGGGCTCCCACCTGCTTCCAGTCCCGGGTCGTTGGAGGGCAAGCACCTTGCCACCTGCTGGCGCTCTGGTGGTCACTGTGGCCCTTTAGAAATACACGACTCCATTTCATAAGCAAAACCTCCTCCCCAGCCCCCAGCTCTAGCAACATTCACACTGCCATCCACGCCGCGGGCGTCAGTAGAGAGGGCATCGGACAACCTACCTCGCAGGGCGCAGTGAGGTATAGCGATCGCTCCTGGTGCCGGTACCAGGCAGCTCAGGTGACAGGAGCTTTCCAAAGACACCTTGGGTCCAAAAAGCAAAGTTCTGCACTCACAATTTGGATTTGCCCACGTATGAGCAAATAGGACAGCCTGCTCACATTTCTCCTTTGAAGACACTTCCACTGTGGATTGTCGCTGGAGGGCTCCTAGGAGGTGACCATCGGTGCCCCAGGAGAGAGGCAAGGAATTGACCCTTTGGTCACTGTGTAAGTCCCCACTTGGCTGTGCCTCTTTCCAAAGAGAAGAGGCTGAGGAAAGCCAGGAAGGAAGCCACCCCTCCACACACACACACACACACATACACCTGCATCTATCTGGGTTCAGCCAGGTAAAGGGACTCACTGGGACCGGCCCCCTCCCCAGGACAGGATGACCCTGTCCCTGGCTTCCTAACACATTGAGGGAGCAGCCTGATCCCTGAGCAGTCCCTTTTTTGGTGCCTCCTACATTTCTTGAGGAAAAAAAAAAATGTGTCCTTAGCTACCCTGTTCTGAGCAGCAATATGCAGCCTCTTCCTTCCAAGATTACCTCTGGAGAATACCATTCTTGGCCAAGGATGCTGAGGAGCTAAACCTGCCTCACTGAGGAGCAGTCTTGTTCCCGAGAATTGCGGATAAGCTGGGTAAAATGCTCACTAACAAAGAACACTTTAAAACTTGTGAGAGCCTTAGAATAGCCTCTGATAATCCTGAGAAAGGAAGTGCCCAGCTTTGCTGTGAGTGGGTCCTCAGAAAATGCAGGAGGTAGACCATCTCTTCGTCGGGGCCAGCTTCTCCTCCAGAAAGGATGCTTTTTTCCCGACTAAAGAGCAGCAAAAGCAAAAAAAAAAAAGAGAGAGAATTTTTTTACTTGTTTGAAGAATTATAATAAAATAGAGTATCTCCTGTAATTTCTTTTTGTTTTTAATTATTCCACAGCATGTGGCGTTTTCAGTAATTTATTCAAGTTTTGCATAAATGGTTCCTTAAATCAAAATTATTTATTAAATAGAACCTTTAAGAAGTTTTTTGAACGTTTTACTTTTCCTGCTGAACAGTATTTTCAATGTGTGGTGTTTACTGTATTAACATCCACGTCCCTAATAGTGCTGGGGTTTCTTTTGTTACTCAAAAAAAAAAAAAAAAAAGTGGTTTTTAAAAAAATCTCTCATCGAGAGGGGTCTGTGGCAGCTTTTTGGACTGATTCTTCATGTCACGCGAAACAGCTGCTCTGCTGTCCAAAGCTGTGGGGTCACAGAAGGTTTTGCTTCAGGCGCAAACACCGGCTATTCCTCATCCTCCCCTCTCCGAGGTTGAGACACCCAACCTTAAAAATGCTTAAATGTGCATTCAGAAACCAAACCCATGTGTACAAGAAGCCAGCAAGGCATAAAGTCGGCTCATGTTTGGTCCGTTTGTTTGTTTTTCATATTGTTAAAACAGCCAACCAGAAATTTCCAAAACTGGCTATGCAAATCTTTTCTCTTTCTCGTGCTCTCTGCCAAGTTTTAAAAAAAAAAGAAAAAGGCAAACAAAATAAAAATGGCCCATTGTAATAAAGAAAAACCTTTTTTAACCCGGCAGAGAAATATGTATGTATTATCAAAAAATGGGGACCTAGTCTGTCCTTCGATTTCCAAGTTACCTCCACCCCACTGGCATCTGATGACAGGTGTGGCCTGAATAAGGGCCTGCGATACAGCCCCTGGCTGCACGGTGGGCCCCAGCTTCTCAGCGTGATCACGAGGCAGGCTAGCCACTGCCTGTCGGCGCCTGCTCCAGGCTGACACGTTACCACCCGGCCCATATCATTTAAGAATAGCCATTTCCTTTTGTGAGAGATCTGGATCCATCCTTCCTCTAAACAGTATTTAAAACTGCAAAAGGGAGACAGCCTATGGTTACATTAAATGTACTAGTCCTGTGCACCAGTAGCATGCTCCATGTTCAGAACTCTCTAGACCTGGTCCCTGGCCAGACACCAAATTAGTTCATCAGGCTGAACAAGAACTATTAGAAACTGCGTTGGTTACATGTGGTCCAAGGGGTTCCCTCATATTTTATGACTTGGGGACCCTTTGTGGGGCAGGAACAAAGAAGGAAGAGGGTGAGCCCCTCCAGGGCACAGGGCCCTGCAGCCTCCGAGGACCTGCCTGTGAGCGGCCTTCCCCATCTGATCTGGCCAGACTTCCCTTGCTGGGAAGAACAGATGTCTCTAAGTGACCACAAGTTTCCAGAAGGACCCCAGATACTTCTAAACCCCTGTGGAGGTTATTTCAGAAATTTACTTCACATTTCCTGCACATAGAGTTACCTGGGTAAATGATTTTTTTAAAAAAAATAATAATATATTGTTGAGGGAAGGTGTTTTGCAGTGTATTCTGTTTGTAGATTTTATGCTGTGTTATGTTAACATTTTACAAGCCAAGTTTAAACTGTACTATAGAAATTATTTTTATATTATTTTCAGAACATGCCACAGAGCAATATTTTGCACCCTTTATTGTCACAGGGTTGTCCCTTGGAAGGGTAACTTGAGGTGGGAAAGGGCTCCATCATGGGCTCTTGGGATTTAAATGCTTTTTGCTGTCTGTTCAAATACCCTCAGAAAGTGGGAATGTATAAATGTCTCTTTTTTTTAATTGAAAGCTTGATTTTCTTTTTTCTGTTCACAGATTTTGGTACTGCACCTTTCCTCTTAAATGAATACTTTATACTCACTAAGTTACTGTGGACTTTTTCTTACCTGTTACCACCCAGTGGCATTTGAATCTATTACCTTACGAATTAAATGTTGTCCCAAATGATTTTCTTTATTAATTCCAGTAGCTTCCTGTCAAGAATTGGGCGGCTTGAGATAACAAGACTTTCCATGCCCCCGGGCGCACACCTCAGGGTGTGGAAATGGTCCAGTCAGTGCCCGCTGTGTCCCTGGGGAGGGTCATGGGTACATAGTCCCCCTCCCTTAGTGTCCAGAAGCCTATTTTGCAAACTACTTTGCAAAAATAAACTTAACCTAGCAAAATATATTTCATATTAGTTAAGAAAAAAAAGGGCTGTACCTATCAGTGGTGGGAAATGTGTGCAAGAAAAGAAAAAAAAAAAAAAAGACTTTGCCAAACCTGTGTGTGTAGTTCTATTCTTTGTGAGTCTTTTTGTTTACTAAGAGACCTGGAGTAAAAGCCGAAGGCATCTACTGCATGTTTGGGGTTTCTTTGGTGTGGACTTTGCAAATTAAGTTCCTCCCGTATTCTTTTCTTTCTCTTTCCTTTCACTGCTTGTAATAGGAAGAAAACGTGTTTCCATAGCTGAGTGGGCCCTGCCTTGTCACACGGACCTCCCTGCTCTGGCCTCAGCCTCGCTGGGCTGCTCTGGCTGAGAGTCTGGTTCTGTTGTCACCTGAAGGCAGGTACACCACACGAAGGTCCCGGTGATGACTGGCACACCGGGTGCCAGGGAGCAGGCAGCCCCTTCCAAAAAGCCTTAAAGTGGTGGCTCTCTGGAGTTCTCTGGGCACCACCTTCCCATCTACTCCTGACTCTAAAACTCTTTCCCACTCCAGCTGGCCTGTTTGGGCATGGCTGTCCAGGGCAGGGACCAGGCACTCAGCTTGGTTCTTGTTTCATCAAGTCCATCCCACTGCTCATGTCCACTCGGCAGTGCTGGGTCCCTTGGCTCAGAGCACTTTTCTGCCAGTGCTGCCTTGCTGGCACGAGGGCAGGGCCAGGGGGCGGGCCCAGGGTAGTTCGTCCAGAGCAGCCAGCGCACACAAAGGTAAGGGCCCCCCACACTCAGCCAGGAGGCCCCCACTGCACTTCCAGGGCGGACCGTTCTGCAAGCCTTTCATGACATCTCTAAGGCAGTATGCCAAGTGGTCTGTTAGCAGTTACACAGGTCGCTTCTTTCCCCAAAGACCTGTTCTTCTCCCCACTACACCCCCGGCAGAGAAGAGCAAGGGAGATGCCTTGCATGGACCCCTCAGGAACAACAGGTATGTGCAGTCTGTGCAGCATGAGCTGAAAACACACAAAACACAGGAACAGCACAGAAGCCATTATCTCCAAACCATGCTAGGAATATTACTGTTTCTGTCTATGTTGCCAAATAATTTGTTGAAATTTGCATTTGTACTATTTCAGTCTTGAAGAAAAAGGGGCCCCGCCAACCCTCATTATGTATATACAAAATGATGCACATTGCTTATATCTTTTTATTCCTCCCAGAGAGTATCTCAATGATATATTAAATATATATATACATATTACATGAAATTTGTTAGTTTATTATAAGATGAGGAGTAACAGTTGGTTTTAAAAATAAATATAGGTTGAATCTACTTAAGACCAAAGCAACCTGTTAATTTAAGAACAAGTTAGTGAAACCAGCTGTTTCAGAATATATCTACACACACCAGAGGAATACTTAAATGAAGAAACAGCCTCCCATCACAGAGTAAAAGCCAGGTCTTGCAAAGACCACTCCCATGTCAGTAGTTCTCATGCCAACTGCTCTGCCCAGGGAAGTGGGCCTTTCTGAGATCTCTAGTCACCAGGCACCCTCCTGCCTCAGGGCCTTTGCACGTGCCATTCCTTCTACCCAGAACATTCTTCCCCCAGAGAGCCACCTGGTTCACCCCTCACTACCTACTAGTCTTTGCTCCAATGTTACTTTTCAACGAGGCCTTCCTGACTTCTGTGTTTAAAAGGACAACATCCCACCTTCCCTACCCACCTCTCTGTGCATCTTCCTCTTATCACTATCTGCGTGCAACATAGGTTAATTATTCATTTATTTGTTTATGTTATGCCCCCCTCCCAGCCCCCATAGAATGCACGCTCCATGTGGGCAGGGATTCTTGTATGTCTTGCCCACTGCTGTATCCCAGTGCCTACGACAGTGCCTCATGGCACTGGATAAATATTTGTTGAAGAAGCATTTCCTAACAGCATCAGTAATTTGTTAGCTATTAAGAGGCCAGAAAATGTCCGTTCTAGCCTTCATCAAATCTAGATTCTACTACTGTCCCTGCTTGTGAGAACTCCAGCCGATCGAGTGGCCTGGCTCCTTCTCCAGCCTCTGGCACAAGATGGCTGGATACAGCAGTGAGCTGAGGCACCTGGCGGCGTCGGTGGCTTCTGTCTCTGAACACCTGCCCTGTGGCCAGCCCTCCCTCACAGATGAGAGGCTTAGCTGTCTGCAGGGGACACTCTGGAACAAGCTGATGGAAACGGTTTCCTACAGGGTAGCTCTCGTGGTCGGGTGTGCTGCGCTGGGCTGTCACGCCCCTCCATGAGGTCACTGTGAACCATTCTGGAGAATCCTTTGCATTTGGTCCTTAGATGTCTCCTGGTCCTTTATAGTCAAACACGGGTGGCAGCGGATGGCCCAGCCCAGGAAAAGGAGTCCATCTGACCAGTAGAAGGACTCATTCTCGAGCCACCAAAGCAGAGCTGCAGAGGAAGAGGAGCTCAGCATAAAACACTAGCCAGGGCAGGGGTGGGTCACTGTGTGGACAAACTTAGAAGCAGCAGGGTCAGAGAGCCAAGATCCCTTTTGGTCACGGGTGGATGTGCACAGGAGGATCAGAGCCTTGACACTGCAGAGCCAAACCACACACACCTCCTTGGGCCGGGCCCCAGAGCCCTGGCCCTCCAGCCACGGCAGGGGGCTTCACCCTCAGGGGAGGCAAGGGTCCTCCCCTGAACTTCCTGCCCTTGCTGGACGGTTTTCACAACTACCTAACCTTGGTGTTTACTTCTAGGTCCTTTGGCCAAATGCGTTTTCCTCAAAGAGTTGTTGGCAAAATACTGTTACCTGCTGTTTATAGGACCTTTGTCCTCCTGTGGCCTGGTTAAAAAGCTTTGTCCTTCTTAATCCTCCGTGGTTTTTGCTGTCACCTCTCTGGATGCCGTATTTTGGGGTCCCTCAGAGAGCCCCTTTGCCACCATCCAGCAGGCAGAGAGTGAGCCCACACATGTGTGTCTCCATGTTGGAATTGTCAAATACACAGTGTCCCTTTCATTGCCACCCAAACACACTGGAGGCGTGCTGCTGCCGGCACTCAGGAAGGGAGTGTGCGCTTTCCGAGGGGCCTGTCCCCTTGGCCCACACACACCATTCTCCGTGGCAGGCACCCACCTGCCTGGTTTGGAATGATGATTTGGCAGGTGGGAGTGGGGCCACTTGTCTCCACTGGCTTATGACCAAAACTAGTAAACTCACCATGAGCACGAGTTGGAGATCAGCTGTGGCTCTAACCCTGGTACACGCAGAGGCAAAGCCCACCTCTGACAAAGCCTGGCAGCGGCTTGTCTTCCTGGGGCCCCGTGGGAAACGCTGGACTCTTAGTCATGCAAATGAAGGTGCGGTTGGGGCAGGGGCAGGCTTGCCGGAGTCCACGGGACTAAGCTCCTTAGTGGCTGGTCACTGCCTCATCTGCGGAGTATGAAGTCCATTCACTCTCATCTTTGATACATTGGTCTCATTCCAACTGGGGATCATTTCGGTTAGTTGCAACAAGGACCATC